CCATTCATTATTAACAGTCCCGGCTTGTTAATCCATTGATAAAACAGTACCGTTAACAGGAATGCATAATTAATTAGGTTGAAACTGTCCGCTAACGAAAGTAAGAAACATAGTTAGAACAATGGGGACGAGACAAAAAGTAGTATAACTATTTTTAATAAAATACGGACACAGTTCTGATAACAAAGACACTGTTTTGCATCAGTGGAACATGCTCTGAACAATAATGAAAGTCTAGAGCTTATGGTAACAATGAAACAAAATACGTCCAGGTTGTCAGTGCATACGAGATCACCATGTGAATGAAAACGTGGTGATGTGACATTTTAGGGCAACCATTTTAAAGGGTCAAAGGTCGATACTGAAATGCGGCGATTTTATTAGATATAGTCAACTTCAATCGGATTCGCATCGCCTGTGGTTGACTGTTCGTTCATATCGTCTGCTGTCCTGTCATTCCGTCCGTGTCACCGCTGTATTCTGCTGTAGTTTCGGTTTTGTCATTATGCATCTGTCGTGTTTGATCGGTCACATCGCCTGCTATAGTTTCGGTTACCTTGAGTTATTGGTCTTGCCACTATTTTGTTTTTAAAGAATAAGTTATACTTTCACGCACGTTCATCATGAGAGAACAAGTTTGGTCTGAAACTGACCGAATAACCAGTAAACACTGAAAGAAACTGACAGATTATGTAGAAAAGTGTTGGTTAGCGGATAAAAAGGACACGGTTAGAACATTAGCAACGAGTTAAAAAGTGGTATACCGGATATAAACTTACAGTTTACACGACTGTAACTAAAACCGTGGGTTTTATGTCGATAGACTCAATGATCTATTTTGCTCGATGTTCAGTATTTGTTTGCAGTCCTTCGTGGCTCATTGCTTTGTGTTGTGCATATAATAATGTAAATTATATACCGAGAAACGATCGCGTTGTCCTCGTTTTCTCCATGTATGCATATATCTTTCCATGTATGCATATATTAAAACTAATAATCAATTATCAGACATTCCAGTCGTCTGTAGTGAATCAATGCTCCACCGATAAAATATGAAAAGTTCGAACCTTTGACGTATGGTACTATTAGTCTAATTGCATGCAATGGTTTATTCACAGATACATCGTTGTAGTTATTAACCACCGTGACGTCATCCACCATCGACAACCCCACGTGACGCCAGCTGCACAATGATGAAATGTACACGTATAGTAATAACAGTTCTACTAGTGCTGATTGTATGTGAAGTGATCTTCCTTACTCAATACTCGTCTATTATCAAAACATACGGCGAACAAAAGCATGTCACGGGTAACGATTCTCTGTTGGGTTATATCAGCCATCAAAAGAATAATGTAACGCATCAATTATTTGCTCCAAAACTATGCAAACCGAAAATGAATATTGCTTTCATCAAAATGCACAAATGTGGGAGCAGCACGATTTTGAATATATTACTCAGATATGCCGATAAGTACAATTTAACGGTTGCTATGCCACCTAAAGGAAACTATCTAGGGTGGCCACATCACTTTAAAAAGGAAATGGTAATTCAAGTACCTTGGAATGAGTATAATATTTTTACACACCATTCACGATTTGAGTACGAATCTATTAAAGCAATGATGCCTAATGACACAGTATTTGTGGCAGCACTCCGTGAACCGGTCACCATGTTTGAATCTGTCTTCACATACTATAATCTTGGTACACAATTTGGATTAAATGGTTCAGACAGTCTAGATAGATTCATTTCTAATCCACACACATACCATAAAACAACGAACGCTCGTGCGTGGAATCCTATGTTGTTTGATCTTGGTATATCGTCTATGCTGATGAAAAATACGACGTTTATTGAAAGCCAAATTGACTGGCTCACTAATGTATTTGATCTTGTCCTAATATCCGAATATATGGACGAGTCGTTAATTTTATTGAAAGATTTGATGTGTTGGGATATAGACGATATTGTTGCCTTATCTATGAACGCACGAGTTGAAGACTCGAAGCGGAACATATCTGAAGATATCGCTGAAAAGATACGTCAGTGGAATTCAGGGGACGTTTCTCTGTACAGAACTTTCAATCAAACATTCTGGAAGCGAATCGAAGACTTTGGTTCTGCTCGTCTACAAATTGAACTTGATAAATTAAAAGTTCGACGCCAGGAATTATTCGATGAATGCATCGATAACGTTGTAAGCAACGATTCCAGGGTCTGGCATCCCTCACATGTTAATGTGAAAAGCTTTAGATTGAAACCAGGTGCTACGATTAATACAATATGTCTTGGTTTAACGCGAACTGAATTGCCATTCACAATTTATATGAGAGATAACTTGTTGACACGAATACGTACATTTAATTCTGATAATTTAAATCTTATCAATGACTAAATACTTAAAGCAGGAGGGTCGTCACCTGCGCACGCGCGGGAATTAAGACCTAAGCGACGATAACAATACCCGCTAGAAACAGAAAGGCTCGTGGGTAGACGCTTGTTTGTAAACAATGACACGCTATAGCCATCTGACGCATGCGCAGGTGACGACTCCCCCGCTTTAATGTCTTGCCAGTGTTACCAGTCTTTAACGCAATGGTTAATTTCTACGTCACATTCTCACATCGAATATTTCTCCAATTAAAGAGAGGTGGTCGTCGCGCCACGCATGCGCGAGATGTGAGACTCGTATGAACAAAGATGGCAACTTTGACTGTTGCGCATACCAACCAAAGAGTACATACAAACTGTGACGTGTGTGACGTTCCTAAGTTTAAACTATGTAATTTCTTTGGTGATTGGAATGTATCTAAGGAGTCGTCGGCTGTAATTAATTGGACAAAACACATACTCGTTTGATTTCCATTAGAAAAGCGCATTGGATTGTGGGAAATCAATGTTTATCAAATGTCACACATGCGCGGCGCGACGACCACCGAATTACCTATGCTTCTAATTTCATGGTAATACGTTTTATAGAATGTATTAAGATTTATCGAAGGGATGAATATAATATCAGAATTTTGAAATTCATTTCCAATTATATGGCATCACATAATCAAACAAATACTCGGAATCAGGCAAGATGTTCAAAATTCTGTGAATAAATATGGTCACAGGACTACGTTTTCCACGAATCAACCTCGATATAGATATTAAATAGTATTGCGATTAGTTTTTTGGCAGAAACATTTTATTATATATGGAAATTGTGCGACATATAGAGAATTTTGAATATTAGTATAAGTTATTCATGGAATATATATTTATGTTATCCTATGGAAAATCTCTCAAAACGGCTGCTTTTTAGAATATTTTGGATATTTTTTCTTGGAAACACATTCTTCTTTCTCCGTAAAGAAATTAAATATGCATGACGTGCATGTATGAGAATCACCACACACCAATTTCTGAATAATTTACTGTGATTATTGTCCATGTTCTAATGGTAGCGAACTATTATATTAAAATACAATCTAGCTCTAGTTGTCGTTTATTAAACCGAGTCAGTGAGTGAATATTATTATAGCATCATTAAACTATTTAACTGTGTTTTTTTTGTCTGGCAAATTTCTATCTGTACTGTCTCAATTTGACTAGCGGGTACAATGTTTACTGATCAAATTTGTCATGATCAAACGAGGTATACTGTCCCACTTTGCTGAGTAATAGGTCTATTATCCCATATTGTCTAGGAGGACAGGGTATACTGTTCCGACAAATACGATACTACATATATAACTTCTAATTTATTCTGACTAGGACTAGGTGACAGCCTGTGGATGTGCTTATGTATGTTTTGATGTATTTATTTGAAATCCAATACTAATTCGCAAAAATTAGTCTGACTATGTACATATGCACATAATATGTATATCGAACTCACTAAGTTTACCAGTTTGCGAAATGTGAAAGATCAGAACTAGGTGATAACCTGTCTAATATAATTTGTTTCCGTCTAAGACTATAGGGAAGACTTATACGGCAAAGTTTGATACATAGAATTAAACCAAAATAATAAGTACGATTATCACAATAATTTGGTTATTATAAATGATGTCCCAATCTGAACATGCTGCAAACAATAACTATGAAAAGTTAGCGAAAGGTTTGTAATAACTAATCTGGAAAAAGGTCAGTCTTTTTAGATTTGGTATGCCTAGTTTTTCAACCCAAGAAATATACACGGAACATTAATGGTCGGATGTTTGCACTGGTGAAACCAATAAAACAAGTGTCTGTTTAAAAATCGGATTAAAAAACCTATGTAGGTATAGGCTCAATTTGTTAATGTTGTATATAAAAACGTTAAAAAGGCAATATTCATAAATAAACAAAAATAACAATATCAAAATTATACCAATTTGTTGCACAATACGTTTTCTTCAAAAGATTGCTGTATAAGGATGGTAAATGCCTTTGTACGCATTGTCTATAGACACACTTTTAAAATCACAAAATCTAATTTGTCGATATTTCATATTTGCGCATTTTGTAGATTTTCATAAGTTTTATTTAGCATGTAACTGACAGGAAGAGAAAGTTCCGGAAACATACTCCAAAAAATACTCCAGAAAAAAACAAAAAAACGTAATTTCGTAGACATGGGCAAGGCGTAAAATGTAATCAGCTATTTTATTCGTTCGTAATTTGTGCAAAGATTTTATTTTTTTTGTAAGCGTATAAGGCTTTTTCCACATTAAATGTCGTAATTCGTACACAATTTCCAAATATATTATAAAAATGTAAAATCTAATTAGAATTTGCTTTATCTGTAAAGTGTAAAAACTTATTTTTTTTACTGTAAATGGAACTTTCATTTTATTTTCTGTTAAAACGTAACAAGGCTTTTTTTTATTTCCTGTAACCTATACCAGCTACCCCCCTACCCCAACATACGCTCGTACATTCAAGCTCAGACTAGTAATACTAGTCTGAGATTCAAGCAACGTAATAGTGCGTTGTGTACACAACGCCTTCCAAAAATAAAGCTGTGTATCTGACAGTGCCACAGAAAATAGGGTTGGATGGTTGCTTCTCATCTCGAGTGCCATGACGAACCAAATCACAATTGGTTGCTATAACTAGTAAGGGTTCCGGCCTTCTGAATGTTTTCACATTACGTCACAAAATTTACTAGTTACTAGAGTCAGCGAATATGGTTGGTAGCACAACTGGTAACCTGCTGCTTTGATTTGAACTTAACGAATGTAGTGAAATTCAAGACATTTATTCGAGTCAAATGTGTATGTAATGCTGACATACAATGCACGAGTTTCTCGATCACTGGTTGCTAGGTTACTATGTGCAGCCTTAAAGGGGTTTTCCAGGCTAACAGTATGATACTCCCAGATAAATAAGCCCCATAAATTCAGGAAAATGCAATTCATATTTTTTTCATATCATCTATCATTTTATGAATTTTCAGATATGCGGATGAGCCTATAGGAAGGTATATTTAGAAAAGTTGATTTCTGTCTTAATACTCAACATATGTGATTGATTGACATACTCCAGACTGCAACACTTGCATACCAGTTTCCGAGACGCTTTGAAACAATTTATTTGAAAGTGATTTAAAAAAATAAACTTTTTTCAGAGATAGCAAAATTGCCAAATTTATGGGTAATGATTTAAGATAATTTTGAAGAGAGTACTATGGTCCACCGCAATATGGATATTTATATACTTAGGTCTTTCTCGATGGGCATATAAGTTTTAAATTATGTAAACAGAATGTAATGTTTAGCTTATAAATATTACTGTTTTTTTTAGTAAACATCGTTATAAATTGGAGATGGCAAACAAGCTTGTGAAAACTCGTCAAAATTTTTAAAATGAGCAAAATTCTGGTAAACTTGCATCAGCGGATTGTGATTCGATCTGATAAACTTGGTGTTAACTTCTGAACATTTATTGGCCGCAAATTCATATTTAATTCAGCGGACTGCCTAAGTTGAAAAGTAAAGGTGCACCGGGCGTGTCTGGTACTTGCGTTGAGGAAACTAACTTTCGCAGTTGATTTTATTTTGAGTTTCGTCACACTCAATGAAATTAAACAAGTCTTGGGTCACGGGCTATTTTCGAATATTCGAAATTACAGGCACACATACGAACAAATAAACATAAAACTCAAATGTGCCTCGATGTTCTAAACCGACGCGCTTTCCATGACGCCACGTCGCACCCAACGGTATCAGATTATATGTGAGATATGTTCTCTTGTATAGTTAACAATGCTAGCGTTTTGGTAAATCTCTCCAACAAACAGATTTCAAAAAAGGAAATAATATTCTAATTTACTGATATCACATGTATGTAATAAAATTCTGTACAAAAATGCAAATGTTGCCCAGCTCCAACTCCTACAAAATGGATATTTTTAAAACACACACAGATTTGTCAGCTTTTCAACTACCTTTGGGTTTCTCATAAACAACATACAGTTTCTGTCTATTGATGTGACCCGTACTTGTCAATAAACAGATTTTACGCACCAGTTCAACAGGTGATGTAAATGAGGTGCACTCTCAAAAAAACCTATTGGCTAACAACAACTGTATGATTCGGGAACTGATTGCTGATTGGTCAATTGATTGTAAGTTACTTAGAATCACCCAGTATGACATTTGTACAAATTAGTATAACAATTCACCATCAGTGGCATGGAGTCCACACAAAAGATTTTAGACTTATCACAGTGTTTGCTGTTTACACCTTTTTTTTTCCTTAATACGAACATTTTACTTTATTTTTTATCTAATTTATGTTACATGTGATTTGTAATTTATGTAGCTCCTATTTATTTATTCAATTAGTAAGCCTCCGATTCAAACGGGCTGCAACAAATATAGAAAATAAGATAAATAATAGAGTTCAACTTTCAACTTCAAGTTCAACTTGTCTTCGAAAATACTTTTCGGATTATATTAACCTATACAAAGAGATGATCTATCCTTTGAAAATACATGTACACCTTTTTCTCATGCGCTTAATAGCACGCCCTCTTGCGCCAAATAATAATAATTGTATGAGGGCGCTAAATTGTAAAATCAGCTGGGATCACTTGGATGTAAACAGCATGTTTCAAAATTACTCGGTCTTCTGGCGTGTTTAGTTCACAATAGGTGAGTACTATTATACTAATATACTTTTTTTATAGATCTACTCAGAATGTCACAAATCACGCACCTGGTTGTCCATGATCTGTGACAGTGACGTCGACTCACTGAGAATGTTGTATGGAAAAGACATATTACGTACATACGTTGTTACAGTTGTATACAGGAACTGTAATCTAGTCAGACTACAAATATATCAGTCGGAAGTCCGTGACATGTGTGGATGAGAGAGTACAGTATCTGTTGCCCGGTACCTGTCAGGCTGTGTTATATC